GAAATGGAACATTACAATTCAGACGGAACGACGAGGCTAACAGGATCGACCATGTTATTCAGGGGCGGATTTTCACATTCAAACACGAAACCCTTTTACCCAGTACTAGCACGTTCTCTTTTATGAAACCGTACTAGTACGATCTCTATTTCTCTATCCTACCTTCTCCCTCGTACGGCAAAGGTTAGAGCCACACAAAAATTATAAATTTGTTTAGTTGGATTCCAACGAGCCAACGACCATAATAATTTTGATTTGAAGTTTTAGATTTAATGGTTGGATTTTAAATTTTAATATTTTAATTTAGTTGGTTGTGAGTTTTTTTTTATATTAAAAAAATATAATAATAATAATTTTAGTTGTTAATTAATAATTAAAAATTAATTTATATGTTAGTATTTTTAAACAATTAATTAATTAATTATAAATGAGTAAAAATTCATATAAACATAAATTAAATAAATTTTATATAAAATTTTAATTATTCATCTTTTTATTTTTAATAATTAAAATTTATTAATTTTTTATCATATTTATTTAATATGATTATTTTTATCTAAAAATTTATAATTATTAAAAATTAAAAAATAAATTATTAAAATTTTATATGAATATAATGTATAAAATTTATATAAAAATAAATTTATATTCATTATAAATTAATAAATTTAAATAAATTTATCACATATATTTATGACCTCAAACAAAATTTGCCGGGCTATAACCATAGCCATCTCAGACGCTTCAATAAGGCTGTCATTATTGCTGCCAAATATTTTGTTAAAATCATCAATTTTAAGTATAATTTTATCTATGTGTATATATATATATATTTTTTCTTACAAGATGACTAGCATAGCCCTCCATGACCATAACCATGGTTGTCAAAATCTATATTTAAATCTTAAAATCTTACGATTTTACGATTTTACGATTTCAATAAGATATTTTCGTATAAAATCTATACTAAAATCTAAAATTCATGAAATCTGAGAATTTTACGGTAAAATTTAAATTTTACTGTAAAATCAGGTAAAATATCGATTTTACATTCTGTTTGGCAGCTGGACTTTTAACCTATTTTCTTTTAGGCTTCTCATCTTGAGTTTTGACTAGATAACCCATAAATTAAGATCATTTTTCATTTTAAAAACTCACAACCCATACAATCCAACCACAAATCAACATTTTAATC